CATCAAATCGGAAAGACAACCGAGTTTTGTCTACAAGTAAATAGAGACAATTGATCCGGAATTTAAAAATTTTAACTGAAAAAATTATTTATTTTGATTTCGTTATGTATTGTGCAATCTAATAGTAACTAATGTGCAGTCTGATAATCATTAATGTGCAGTCTGAGAATTATAGGTAGGAAAGTTTTGATCTTTAATGTGCAGTCTGATAATCATTAATGTGCAATTTGTCTATCTTTATCGTGCATTAATGGTGCAATTGGTCTATCTTATTGTGTACTTACAAAGCGGATATATTTAATGATTTTATTCATACCAAACTGCACCTGATAGGAAATAATCAATTTTTTCGACTGACTGACCGAATTAATCTAAATCATAGATTATTTATTATTTATATAATAAAAATATATATATATATATATATTCATTATTTTAATAATTTCATTTAATACTTTTATATTATATTTTGGTTTAAAAGACACGATATATAGAAAATTGGATCAATATTGTGCAATGCCACATATAATAATGTGCATTTTGTCTATCATTATTGTGCAATCAATTGATCATTTTTTTATTGTGCATTTCAATTGTAGACTTTAACAATGAGTATTCTAGTTAACATTATTTTGTCATTATAAATTTATTTATTATTGTTTGTTGAAAATAAAAAAATATAGACAAAATATAAAAATATTATTTTATATAGTTCGATCCGTCCACGTTATTTCGTTTTTTCTTTTTGTTTTTAGTAAATAAAATCGAATTAGACGTAAATCCTAAATTATATTAATATACGTGAAAATGTAATGTTGTTTTAATGTGTGTTATCAAATGCATTAATATGCATTATGTCTAACACAATTGTGCAATCGATATTCATTAAAGTGCAACCGGTATAATAATATTGTGAATCATTATGGGACTTTGTTGGTATATAAATTGATGGTTCAACATTCATTGAAATTTTAAAAAAATTACAGACTAGACCCAGAACTAAAATTCAACATTCAATATTTTGCAATTGAGTCCCTATAGTGTATCAAATTTTCAAAAAAAAAAGAAAAAAAAGAATCTGCAAAGCTCTTTTCCGGCAGGTCACGCCGTTTCTGGCCGGAGACACATCTTCCAAGGTCGTCCCTTCCACCGCCGCCGGTGGAGTCTCAGGCCGCCGGTTATCACAAGCTTTTTTTTTTCGCCATTAATGGCGGATCTCGAAACTTCATTTTCCCAGTCGATTTCAGCCTTTGTTGGAGGCGAAGCTTCGCCGTGCATATGGTGCAATCCTAGACGAGAGCGTTAGTGGCGGTGAGAATAGCGTCGTCGTCGCCGCCTGGCGAATGGAGAAGATGACGTCGAGCTGGTCATGGAGGAAGGTGGCGTCCACGCTCGCCGGCGGTGGGGATTGAACGGTGGTTATGATGGCTATTGGTCGGCCGTCGGCGGG